ACTAACCAAAATGGGTGTGTGTGACAAAATCTCAATCCTTAGATTTAGAGTTTTTCGTTAGTTTGAAAGTTTTTTTTTTTATTATTGAACTAATTAACCCAGAAAAATCTCTAAACTTGGAATCGGATAATTAGACCTATTTGAAATGATTACTACAAGAATATTTTTCATGCAATTTCAGTCTTTTTTTTGTTTCCAATTTTCAGTAATTTACTACAATTCTTATAAACAAATTTTAACAGTTTTCTTTCTTCTAAATTAGTAACTTTTTAAGCATTTTTTGTTTTACAACAAGTATAAATAAACCTTTTTATATGCACCGGGTTAGCATTATTTTTTGAGTTCGCAAGTTAAAAAATGCTAAAGAGGTATGTGTCACAAAATTCTTTGAATATGAAGCCTGCCTAATCCTTTTAAGAATTCTCATTTAAAAATATTTATAAATCAACTTTCCAACCAATCACCGCAACCAAATATGTGGATTAAGAGTTAACATTTCCGAACCTTTGAAATCTAAAGATAGAAACTGCATGAACAAATGGAATTGGCCATTTTCGAGTTTGCTCACAACTAACTTTAACAAGAGTATGCTAAATACGCTTGAACAGAAAAACACTATGTACATGATGTTTCAAAATATTTTTGATTGTTTGTTTTCCAACGCAAATTCTGTTAAAAAGTCGAAAATTTATGTAAACTAAAATTAGTAATGTCACTTGAGCAACTAATTTATGTAAATTAAAATTAGCAATGTCACTTTTTTTTTTTAAAAGACTATGAGCAATGTCACTTGAGAGGAACGAATGGTAGAGAAATAAAGAGGTTATCCACCTCGTGAATATCTGTGTTGTATAATGTAATTAAGTGTAACGACATTTTACATAAAAGTAGTGATGGATATTTGGGGTATTTGGATTTGGATTTTAAAGGAAGCCATTTTGCCAACACATCCGTCACGTGGGTCTCCCTCCCTCCACCACATCTCTCTCTTTCAATGTGTTCTTTTGTGAATCAATCCAATATTTACATAAGAAGGCCACCTACTTCACTGTAAATTGAAGATAGACCTATTCGTGACAATAAGTAGAACGTTTCAAGAGAGA